TAGGAAGGAACAACTTGGTCGTACGCTTCCTCAAGGGAGCAAGGAGGCTGAACCCGCCTCGTCCTCCCTCTATACCTTCATGGGACCTGTCTATGGTCCTCAGGGCCCTCAAGGGCCCCCCTTTCAAGCCGCTCCAATCGGCTGACTTTAAGCCACTTTCGCTCAAAACCGCACTCCTGCTAGGCGATCTGCTAGCACTCTCCATGAACGCTTCCTGCCTTGAGTTTGGGCCCAACGACTCCAAAGTTGCCCTCAAACCGAGACATGGCTATGTTCCCAAGGTGGTCTCAACTTCATTCAGAGCCCAGGTCATTTCACTATCTGCCCTTCCCCTGTCGGAAGACGATAGAGAATTAAGCCTACTCTGCCCCGACAGGGCTCTCAGAGTTTATATAGAGCGTTCTACCTCATTCAGGCAATCATAACAGCTCTTTGTATGCTTCAGTGGCCGCACCAAAGGGCTTCCGGTCACGAAGCAAAGATTGTCGCACTGGATAGAAGATGCTATATCTTTAGCCTACGCCTCAATGGGCATTCAATGCCCCATAGCAGGGCTCATTCCACGAGGGGCATGGCCTAATCGAAGACATTTGTGCGGCGGCCGGCTGGTCCTCGCTGTCCACATTTGTGAGATTTTATAACTTGGAGGTTCTGGCTCTGCAGGCACGAGTCCTTTCCATCTAAAGTGAGTATGGCCTCTAAGGAGCCCAAAACACTAGGTATCCCTTCTGAGGGCCCCGACCCTTGTCCGGGCCCCATTTGTCTTCTGCCTTAAAGTTCTACTCTAAAACCTCAGGCCTTGCTGCCTTAGGCTGGAGTTCAGGGTGAAGTCGTTAGCTAAAATAGCACGGCGTTTTAAATTGGTTCCCAATGCATCTAGCGACGCAATACTAGTGAACCGTTTTCGAAAGGGAACGTACTCGGTTACTCGCGTAACCTCGGTTCCCTGAGAATAACGGGAACGAGTATTGCGTAGACGGCCGTGCTATTAAGCTTCACGTCCAGGTATTGTCGCTTCAGTCAATTTAAACCTGATGTCCATGGTGAAATGGGCCGCTTAATAGTCTGTAGCTCTCCCCATTCTGTCGGGCTCAGCTCGCTGGTGGCGGGACGCGCCCTGATTGGTTCGCACTGCTGTGCCACTTCGCCATAGGTTCGTGCAGATCCCGCAGCCCAGCCAATCAGCACACTGATAGCTCTGCTCTATGCTGGCTGTGCTGCTGCACTGCGTTTTAAAATAAAGGCTTCAATATTCTCAAGAAAATTTGTTTTCCCAATGCGTCTACCCTATTCTCAGGGAACCGAGGTTACGTGAGTAACCGAGTACGTTATTTGCTCTGGCAGCTGGTGTTGCTCTTCACTGGAGCGATTTGGAGATAAACGGGTCCTGACTTTCCATTCACACTGCAGAACGGGGGCCACTGGATTATCGCAGATAATCTGTTGCTTCACTTTACAACATTCTGTGCAAAAATGTTTGTGGCTAGAATGAATGTGTGATGTCAGTTCTCCTCAAGTTAATGCAGGTGGAGTTCATCACATTAACTGTGAATAACTTCAATTTACAACTATGTCAGCCTTATTCAGCAAAAACTGATGATTCAGGATTCTGGTCATTCTAAATCTATGCAACCACAAGGGCTGCATCCGTAAAACTTATTGGCAGCTGACTTGTTGCCTCGATGACTTTGTTGGCAGCGTTTGCGTACAAAGGTACCTCAAGAAACTGATTTCGGACAGACTTCTGAGGCAGGGTAACGGTTTAATGATCTACAGCAAAATAGAGCTTTGCTGATAATTGCTGAATATTTAATTACTACAATAGTAATTTCTTGCTGGAAATGACAGTGAATCATCAGAAACACCATTTCAGACACCATGTTTATTTTTTAGCTTAACGGGGACAGATAGGAAAGCACAGGATTGTGGGATATCAAAGGTAGTGAAGGATACAGCTATGCTGCCTTCAAAAATCGATCAGATGAAGGGATCTCAGAAGACAGAAAGTCAATCTAACTTTGGATTCGGACGTGCCTTAATGTCTTTCTACCTCGGAAAGGCAGCATTTCTTTCATTTTCTAAATTTTTACATGTTCACTTTGACACAAAATATTTGTTGTTGTATCATAAATGCATACACATCAATACTGGCCGCTGTACCTTAGTGAACACATTCAGGAGTTTTAAAACTAGGGTCTTGGAACCCCCAAGGGAAATTTGAGAATAAATTTACTTACGTTCAGTAATTTTTTTTTCTTTTTTTCTTTATTTCCTTGCCACTGTTACCTGTAGCTTGCTCACTAGTCACAGAACTGTGGAACTGCTTGGAACAATATTTAATATTAAAAGTGAAATGCAAATAAATTTAATTTTAGTTAAAAAAATTATCTTATATTCTAATATAGGATTAAGAAATATACACTGTTGACTTATACAAAGTTTTAAAATATATATTTAAACCTGTAAATAAAATAAAAATATATCATTATATATTTTTTTAATAATTATTATATACATTACCATTTATTTTATATTTGATCAAAAATACAGTAAAAAGGAATATTGTGAAGTGGTATTGCAATTCAAAATAACTGTTTGTATATATTTTAAGCTGTGATTTATTCCTGTGATGGCAAAGATGAATTTTCAGCAGCCATTACTCTCAGTAATCAGTCTGTACGTGATTCTTGTGAACGTGATTATTCAGAAAAGCGAATTGTATAATTTTACAGATGTGATGTTGTCTTATCACACTTATTTTTCCTCACACAGTTTAAACGGATCTGTATATATATAAATATATAGCTTCCTTATATATTTTAGGAAAGAGATTCATCACAAGGGGGTCCTAAAATATTAAAGCATTAAAACGTTTGAAAACCCTGATCACACACAATGATGACACCCCAATAAAACTGATATAATTGATCAAATTTTTTCAGAAGTAACTTATTCTTTCAAGTCAATCAGGTCTTACACAAGACTGAACATATATAGCCTATACTGTAGGTGTGTGCATGTTTATGAGGTACATTTTGAACTTTGAGAGTCAGAGGACATACTGGATAAACATTGTCGTGGAAATTCTTAATACGTATACAACCTACTTAATCTGACTTCTTCACCATGGACAATTTAAACAACTTGCAGTTGTTAAAATAATAACAGTATCTTGAGGTAATTTCCTGAATTGCCTGAATACTTGCAATACAATACAATTCTTCCCTGAAGCAAGGTGATGGCGTCCCATCAAGAAGCTATATCACTACCTCAATCACACATAGATGTTCTATTCTTGTCTTTTGAGCGTATAATCTTTAGTACTTCTATTACTACCCCAATCACAGATGTTCTGTTGTTGTCTTTTGAGCATAGAATTTATTTCTCAGCTGCGCAGCATATACCTGACACGACTCCCAAGTGGCTCTTTGTAGAAATTAAGTTTTATTCACGGCCGGGAGATCACTGGCCACAACAACCAAGTGAGTCTCCTGAATAGAAAGATACATGTACATTTATATCATACAGTTGAGCAATGTCACTCAAGTCTTCTTCACTATGATTTGTTCTGGTGATTGATTTGTAATGATCTAAGCTAATCATATGACTGTTAGTTCTACTGTGTTAAGCACTTTTTGGTTAAGTATGGCCTTTGACCTAAGCATCATCAGTCTGCATTTCTCTTTACATTTACTGTTGAAAATACCCATTACATAAAATATTTCTATCACAACATCATTGGTTACTCTTCTACTTTGTCATACCTGTTCTGTCTCACTCATTGCTTGAGTGAACAAAATGCTCTGCCTACGTTCAGCTAAGCAGAGAGTTATGCCTAAAAGTAATTCATTTACCCAATCCCATAACTCCTCCTTTTACATTGATAATGAGACATGAAGTCCCGCACACTAATCTACCCTGAGTTGTACTCAGTTCCTCACAGTGACACCCCACCGGCTCGGACACTGGACAATCTTCGGGACACAGCAGGTACGAGCACAGAGGTTAGCCAAGGGATTCCAGAAGGAGCACAACAACTTCAGTCTAGCTGAGGCATCTCTTCCCGTGCCTCATGGAAAAGTCTGTTCGTGCCACAAGCGGTTTAAACGTGGACCTTCTAATCCAGAGCAAACCTTTGGTGCATTTCCACCCGAAAGCCAGAGGAATTTAAGAGCTGATTATACAACAACGCATAACAGTTTCTCTATTTATTTCACCCATTAAGAATATCTTTCTAGTTCCATTTGTTTTCTAGGGAGAAAATTCAGGACATCCAAGTCACCACAGGTCCGTGCACACTTGTTTTTTATGCTCATCTGTAAAGCTTTTTATTTAGTGTTTTTTTGTATTTATATTATTTGTATTTAATCTTTATTGCATTTGAGGCCTACACTGAAAAAAATGGTATAGAAACTATTTTCTCTCAAATTGCAAATTAATTACACTGAAAAAAAAGTTCTGAATCAACATGCACCAATTTTATATATCCTAATCATTCGTCTATATATCCTAATCATGTATTCATTACTTCAATGCGCTCATTGTTTAATACATTGTTTAAATTAAGACATTATTAGCTAACTGTGTGATTTGTATATGTACATTTCTGAAATACATAACTAAGACAGTTACCTCTGAAAACAGATCACTCTAAATTGTAATGTTGACATGCATTTTCTGTAAAGCTGCTTTGAAACAATATGTATTGTGAAAAACGCTATACAAACAAATGTGAATTGAATGTAACTGAATTGATAAAATAAGTAACACATTGAATTAAACATGAAATTTTAAGGTAGAAAGACTGAAATAGTATTTCTTATAAAACGTAAGTAAAATGTAATCTTTATGTACAACTGTTTTATACAGTGATGCCAATATTATTAGCATAATATGTTTACATCTCCATAATATCTACACTTGTACTTTTAATTATTTGGATAAACACATCTGCTAAATTATTATATTTAAATCTGATATGTTGTAAAGTAACTGTTTTATGATTGCAATCTAATTTTATTGTGATAAATGCAGTGCATGACCTATTTCAGAGCCTATAAGTGAATTTTCCATAAGGGCTTTTGACCAACATGCCTTATCTTTATATTCCCACAGACACTTTTTACAACCCGCAGAACATTGGGTTATAAACTGTATTCCTCACGTGAGTTGTAATACCTGTGATATTCCCTGTTGTTGTGGACATCTGAGCCATGGCCTTTTCTGACCTGCTGGAGCAGGTGGGCAGTACAGGACGCTTCCAGATCCTGCATGTCACCCTGTTGAGTATGCCCATCCTGATGATGGCCAGCCATAACCTGCTGCAGAATTTTGTGGCCTCTGTGCCGCCGCACCACTGCGCCCCCTACGCCAACCTCTCAATGTCCTCCATGGGGGACATGCTGCGGGCAACGGTGCCCCTGGGCCAGAACGGCCAACCGGAACGCTGTAGACGCTACACACATCCTCAGTGGCAGCTCCTGAACAGCAATAGTTCAGAGAGCCTACGGGAAGAGGGTGTGGAAGAGATAGAGATGCAGAAGTGTGAGGATGGATGGTACTACAACATGACGGATATGAGCTCAACTATTATTAGTGAGGTAAGTGTTAAATGTCTTTCCATTATTATTATTAGCAATAAGTTTGCTTTCATGGTGACATTAATGTTAATTTCAACATTTAATTATACATTTTTTTAAATCAAAAGTTGTGTCTGTTAATATTACTTGCACTGTGAACTAACATTAATAAACATTGAACAACATTTATTATTAAAATGTTGTAAAACACGTTGTTCATTGTTAGTTCATGTTAGCTAATGCATTAACAAATGATACCTTATTGTAAAGTGTTACCAAAAAAGTAAAGAAAAGGTACCATTTGTGCAATAATTCAATGAAAATCATATATTTGTAAGTGCGCCTTGTGTGTCCAAATACTTATTTGGGGCACTGAATGACCTTTGCCTGTTCACCAAGCAATAAGCAAATAAAGGAAAGTTTGGTAACACTTTATTTTAAGGTGAAGTAGTTACACGTTACTACATGTACTTACTATAGTAATAACTATAAGTTATAAATAACTACAGTACACCTAGTCAGTACACCTACAGTAACTCTAGTAAGTACATTTAGTTCATTCATATTACACATAACTTATTTGAGTATGTAACTACTGTACCTCGCCTTAGGGAAAAACAAATGGCTACACTTTATTTTGTGTATATTTAATTAAAATGTTGATTCTTTTAGTGGGATTTGGTTTGTGACCAGCGTGCGCTAAAACAGATGAGTCAAACTACATATATGGGAGGCGTCCTTGTGGGAGCAGTCCTTTTTGGGGGACTTTCTGACAGGTTGTGACAGCTTTTACAGTTAAACATGACAACAACATCAACGAAAAAAACAAAAAAACTTCATTATATAACACATCTGACAGAGAAATGCAGTAGGACACTAATTAAATTCCCCTAATCTGTTGTAGATTTGGCCGGCGCATTTTACTGCTGATCTCTAACCTGATGATGGCGGTTGGAGGAACATGTACTGCCTTCTCCACATCCTTCACCATGTTTTGCCTTTTCCGTGTCTGCTGTGGCATGGCCCTTTCTGGTCTGGTGCTCAATTCTTTCTCTCTAAGTGAGTATGGTGAATAACACAGCTGTGGATCAGAGGTTGGCATCTATTCAATCCATGTGATTTACATTGTATTTGGTGACATCTAGAGGAGAAAAGCATGAAGTGTCATTGTTGCTTCTCCTCAGTTGTGGAATGGATCCCCACGCGTGTGCGGACGGTGGTGGGCACAGGAACAGGCTACTGCTACACCACAGGCCAGCTGATCCTGGTAGCCATCGCTTACTGCATCAGAGACTGGCGCTGGCTCACATTGGCTGTCTCTCTGCCTTTCTATGTGTCCTTCCTCTACTCATGGTGTGTCTTCTGCTCATGACGGGTTCTACTAAACAAAGTTCAAAAGAACAGCATTTATTTGAAATAGAAATCTTTTGTAACATTACTGTCACATTTGATCAATTTAATGCCCCCTTTCTGAATAAAAGTGTAAAAAGCTTGGAAGTTGGAATGAAAAAAGTAGCAGAATCTATGTGCAGCATTATTAAATAACAAATCAAAATAACCAAACACTCATATTACCCAGAACTTCTAAAAAACTTGAACAGAACAACCAGTATACATTAGCAATCACAGACAAAGAACAACTAAAAATGAGCAATAACACTGGAGCTAAACGGGATAATTAACCAGAGACATGAGGGCAAAATAAAAACCATGTCAACAGATAAATGAACACATGAAACTGAACTGGGAACAAAGCTAAATTAAACACAAAGTCCTACTCAAGCAAACGTGACCCCCCCCCCCCCCCCTCCCCCTCCCCCCAAATAAAAAACAACACAAACTGATTGAAGGAGCCATGGTGAAGCCTTGGTGAAGAGGCCAGGCAGAACCAGGGGGGAGACTGACAGAGGCAGAGCCAGTAGAGGTGGAGACCCAGGTGGAGCAGAAGTGCCGAAAAGACCGGACGACACCGAAGGTCCTGGAGACCAATGCGGAGCCGTGTTGACGAGTGGGCGAGGTGGAGCCAGGGTGCCAGAGCACTGAGGCAGAGCCAGTGTGACTGAGAACTGAGGTGTGGAGGCGGACGGAAGGAGAAGCCCGCTGGAGCCGATGGGGTTGAGGGCCAAGGCACAGACGAAGGCAGAATGACGACTGACCAAAGTGGAGCCGGAGTGACGAGGAAGCCCAGTGGAGCCTTAATGATGACGGTCCTGGGTGGTGCAGAGGGAGTAAGGAGCCATGGTGGAGCCAACTAGTCGAAGGGCCAAGGTGGAGTGATGGGCTTGGAGGTTCGAGGTGGAGCTAGAGGGTCGACACACCAGGGCAGAGCTGGTAAACAGGAAGACCAGGGCGGATCCGAGCTTCTGAGAGAAGCCAGCAAAGGAGTCGAAGGGCTGAAGGGAGCCAGCAGAGAAGAAGAACTGGATAGCATGGGCAGAAAGTTACAAGATGGCCTCCTTAGCTGTGATAAGGCAGGCAAAGAGTTCAAAAATGGCCTTCTTGGGCAGGCAGAGGAGGTGGGAGTGGGAGGCAGGGTGAGAGTATCATCAACAACACTGACATGGTGCTGGGCGACGAAACAGATTTGGTGCTGGGTGACAAAACAGATTTGGTGCTGGGTGGGACCAACGGCGAAGGGATATCCTAAGAAACAACCTCCTCCAATTCCTCACACAATTGTTTGGAAGTTATGCAATACTCATCCTCGGCGAATGGGCAAGGGCTCCACGTCATGCCCAAGAACTCCACTAACACACACTCTGGGACGGATGTTGAGGAGCTCAGTTGACAGCTATGGCATGGACCTCCGGTCTGCGGTGGGCTCTGGCTTACTATCCTTTGTGGGCTTGGGCTCTAGGTAAGTGGAGGATTTGGGTGCTGGCCTGGGGAGGATTGGAGTAGACAATTGCAACCGGCAAGGGGCAAGTTAGTCTGGGGCATGTTTATCTTCCATCGCCTCCACGAAAAAAATATGGACCTTACACAAACACAATGGGCCCTATCTTGCACCCGGCGCAAATGACTTTGTACACTGACGCATGTATCATATTTTGCACCCGCGCAAAGCGGACTTTTCCCTCCACAGACACACATGTCTATTAATGTTTAGTCTTTTAAATAAGTCTTTAATAATACAATTTAATAAATCATTTAAATAATTAAATAATATAATTACTGTAAATAAATATTCATTGTAAGAAGTCAACCACCTGAAAGTCAATGTTTATTTTGCTCATGTTTGAGTTTTTATCTTCTGCAGGTGGTTCTTAGAGTCTGCTCGTTGGCTGGTCCTGACCAAGAAATCAGAGCAGGCAGTAAAAAACCTCAAAACGGTGGCTCGCATAAATGGACGCCGCGCAGAAGCCGATAAAATCAACCTTGAGGTATGACTTTATGTGGGTTGTGTCAATTTCAGCATCCTCTTAGTCATTCGGAATGCTTATTCTGTTGTGGTTGTGCATGTAGATGTTGCAAGAGTCCATGAAGAAGGAGATGGCCTGTTCACAGGGGTCTTACAGTGCTCTAGACCTCCTGCGCACATCCAATATGAGAACCATCACCTTGTGCCTTAGTGCAGTCTGGTCAGTCACTCAATCCTACCATTTCATTCAGTGACAACTAGCATTTGAATCATACCACACTTGTGACCTTCGAACTGTAACATCTCAGGTTCTCAACCAGCTTCGCCTACTATGGTCTCTCCATGGATCTGCAGAAATTTGGGGTCAGCATTTATCTTATCCAGGTCATCTTTGGAGCAGTGGATATACCAGCCAAAATTTTGGTTACGATATCCATGAGCATGTTAGGACGAAGACCATCTCAGTGCGGAGCTCTTGTACTGGCTGGTGTAATGATACTCATTAATCTTCTGGTGCCTTATGGTGAGAATTTGTGCCTGGTTAGCAGTAAAGTGCAGTAATAATAAAACTGCAGTCTCATTGTCACATAGGGTCACCACAATTCAAGTTTGACATTCATATGGCTGATCATGGAACAATGTATTCGTGACACTTATTTTTGTGAATGTGCAGACATGCAAGTATTACGCACCAGCCTGGCAGTGATTGGGAAGGGCTGCTTGGCTGCGTCATTCAACTGCTGTTACCTGTACTCTGGAGAGCTCTATCCTACGGTCATCCGGTAATTACATCCTAAAACAACAAACAAATTCCCTACGATTCACAGGCACAGCTTAATTGCATTTGTCCACAAGGCCGTAACCATGTCTTGAACATTAGTGGGGGAGGGTTGTAATGGTCTTTTTATTTAGAGGAAACAAATTATATTTTTTTTAAATGGATTTAATGGAATAAAAAAAAAGGTAGAAGATCAGTAACAGAACAAGAATATATATATATTTTTTAAACAATTTGAGCTATATGCACACATTCACTTTTATACGTTACACAAAATGGTTTTTGTCATGTAGGCTAAATGATTCAGCCTATATTTTAAATTTGATAAAAAAAAGTCAAATATTAAATGGTTAGCTACTTCCATCTTACCTCAGTCTTTTACCATTAAAAACTGAAGCGTTGCACATGTTTGGTGTTTGTGAATCCCTTTTAGTTAAATCCCACCTTCTTTGATTTAATTGGTCATGTCAATCAGCTGTTAGACCGCTGACTGCAGACCAGCCTAAAAATGTCACTTAAAAAAACAAATTTTCATTCTAATAACAAATAGAACAGTATCAATTTGTCCATTTCTAATTTTGGGGGGAGGGACTTGTTTCCCTCAATGTATATGGTGGTTACGGCCCTGTTTGCATATCATTTGTTTCTTTTTGACAAGCAATAATAAGAATCCCAGAATCCCATACTATTTTCCAGTGCAACTGATGTCAACGTATGCAATGTTCTGCTGTGTCCTCTCAGTCAGAACGGAATGGGATGGGTCTCCATGATGGCTCGGTTTGGAGCAATGGTGGCCCCCATGGTGCTCCTTCTGGGAGAGGATTCCCAATGGCTACCTGGTTTTATCTACGGAGGGGCTCCAATTGTCAGTGCGATCATCGCTTACTTTCTCCCAGAAACCCTTGGACAACCTTTGCCTGATACTATCCAGGATGTGGACGACAGGTGAGCCTGTGCACTGTAAAAAAAAGAAAAAAGTTGAGTTTAAAAACATTTAAGCAACCAGCTGCAAAGCATTTTTGAGTTCACTCAACTTCAGTGGTCAAAGTTGTGCCAAATCATTTTTGAAAGTTTTTCTACACTTATTTGATTAAGTTAATTCTACCTTTCTCAGTAAGTTCATCTAACTACCAGTCCAACTCAAAGGAACAAGTAAGCACAACTACAGAGGCCTGAAGTTCACTAAACTCAAAAAACTCTTTTTTAAGTTGATTCAACTTTCTCCAAATATCTCACCCAGATACTTGAATAGCCCTCACATTAAGAATCATACTGTTTACAAGTACCTCAGGTCTCCAGAAGTAGCTCCTGATACCTTCGCTCGGCCTCGGAGGCCAGGCCCTGTCCCGCCGCAGATTGCGTTTCGGGGAGTTTTAGGCGGAGCTCTCTCGATGAGCAACACCACTCCGTGCGTTCCAGCCTCCGGAGTTCGAAAAAAAAAAAAGCCCTAGGGTCACGTGCGTGTTGCCCGTTTATGACGTACAAACCATATACTGTAAATACAACACAATGCAAAAGACATTGCCATCATTACAAAAATTATTTATTGACAATTCTGTAAAACAGCACTTTTTCTATCTGCATGAAGTTCTACTCCACTCTTCAAGATTTATAAAAAAAAAGAGAAAAAGATTAGTCACTAGAGTACAACCTGGAATACATAAATGATGAACCTTATGATTATCCCTATGGATTGCAGCTATTTGAACATTAATCATTTTTTGAAGGACCAAACTTTTGAATTTGTAATTCTTTTATTTTAATTCATTAGGAAAGTTCACATTGAGGGCATTAATCAAAGAGGAGACAGCTGTGGCAAAGGTCTTGCACATTATCCGACCCAATCTGCTCTTATAGTACTACAGAGAGGCACCTTATATTTGGGTTTGAGTGGATGGTGGCAACATCATCTTCAACGATGGTTAAGAACCTCATCTTCTCCCCTTGTAAATGGCTGGCTCTGTGTCCTGCTGTAGAAATCGGCAGAAAATTTGGGGCAAAACACATTTTTGATTGAATCCCGTTGGACCACAGAGTGTTCCTAAACATGTGCTCATGTAACTTCATTTGGAAAACAAAGCTGGTCATGTTTTTAAGCTTGTTCAAATTCAGCCATTGAACAAAAACTGATAACCGAAATACATTTCCCAAGGCCAAACAATAACACACTTGTGCTGTTTTTTTGTGTGATTACCTGTGGCACTTGTTAACAGCAGAATCCACAGCCATTTATTTAACGTTTTTTATGTTGTTTAAAAGAGATCACCCGAAATCACACAAGCAAAGGGCATAAGGAAGTGTATAGGCTCACATTCTGTTCATCGCCCAAACTGATTGTATTAAATCAGCAAAGATTAAATCACTAGAGTCATATGGATTACATTCATGCTGACTTTGTGTCCTTTTTGGAGTTTAAAAGTGTTGGACCCCATTGACTTGAATTTTGTGAACAGAAAAACCTTCAATCCTTTAAAATATTTTTGTGTTCACCAGAAGCAGTGGTGGAAAGTAACTAATTACAAATACTTTCGTTACAGTACTTGAGTAGATTTTTCGATTTTTTTCTACTTTCTTGAGTATAATTAAATTGTGGTACTTTTACTCTTACTTGAGTAGAATAATAAGAAAGTATTCAACTTCGCTACATTTATTTTTCACCAAAAGTACAAAGTACTTTGACAAAGGTGCCGACGGAGCACCAGGGAAAGCTAACATTTGACAGACACTTTTCAAACTACTGCGGTGGAGCCCTGCGCTTCAATATCTCTATCGCTATCATCTCCCCATTTTGGGTAAAAATACCGGTAGAAAAATAATACTAAAGTACTTTGTACTTTGTAGTACTTGAGTAGTTTTAAAGCAAATACTTATTTACTCTTACTTGAGTCATATTATTTTTCAGTACTTCTACTTGTACTCAAGTAAATTATTACTTAAGTAGCAATACTTTTACTTAAGTACAATTTGTTAGTACTCTTTCCACCACTGACCAGAAGACAGTAAAGACAACAAAATGGGTGAGTAAATATTCAAGTTCTTCTTGTTTATATCTTCTATATTCATATTCATATTCTTTCATATTATATTAATTTGATTTACTCTGCTATTGCTATATTACTGTTTAACCTTATGATTGTGCACTGTATTGTTTTCACAGGTTAGATATCAGAGGGAATGTCTCAATCTCAAGGTTTTCAATGTCTCTGGACAGTGTTGCGAAGCAGTAATGTTCCATTGTCTTTGCTTTGGTATAATAACAACTTGTTGAATGTGTGGTATCAGACTGTCAAACTGATCTCCAAGAAAGACTTTAATATTCAATAAAGTAATTTTAACCATGACTTTGTCTCCTGCATTCTTCTCTTTCCTCTGCCTCTTGGCTGATAAGAGAGCAGGGGCCGTATTTGCAAAACATTTTATCTTACCACTAAGAGTTAGTCTCCTAAATGGCAATAGAAGTTCTTAATTAAGAGTTTTCTCTTAAACCTATTCACAAAGCTGCTGAGACCAACCTTTACTAAGGAATAGAGAGAAGTCTTAAGCTAAGAGTGAGGGCGGGGTTGACCTCGTTGCTATGGATGATGTCAACACGCTTACTAACTATGACCACAGTGATTGGCTGATAGGGGAGGAGTCTATGTCAGCGATTTAATCATAGAAATATTGTAGAATTCAAATAAAGGTTTTAAAATAAAAATGTTGCCATATACAAATAAAGATTTAAAAATATATATGTTGCCATATTCAAATGTGTCACTAATAAACTATTATATGTTCAGCTAATTGCCAGCCTCTTACATGTCTGCATGTCCGACAAATGATGTTTTATAAACAAAGTTTGGGAGGAGGATGTCCATAGCCGACAGCCGACTCAACCTAGTTACCTCAACAGTTTTCTGTATCCCTCTGCCACCCCTTTTGGACTCTCGGCAAAGATACTCTTTGCTCTCTGTTGAGGATACGGGGGAGAACGTCTCAGTTGCGTATGTAACCTTGGTTCCCTGAGTAGGGAACGAGACACTGCGAAGCGGTCGCTATGGGAACACCTTCGGCGTGACGAATGTCTGAAGCCCTTTTACCATCACACCAATTTGATTGGCCAATAGCGCTTAGCACCGCCCAAAGAATAGGTCACATAGCTTAATATCAGCATGCAATTTGATCAGATTTCCATGACGAAGGATGCACTAATCGAAAAATACTGGAAGGCCGGCATCGCAGTGTCTCATTCCCTACTTAGGGAACCAAGGTTACATACGTAACAGAGAAGTTCCCTTTCATATGTTCTCTCGACACTGTGAAGCGGTCGCTATGGGAACGATTTATACCATAACGCCTTCACGTACCTGAGAATAGCTGGAAGACCATGGATAGCATCCGCTTAAGAAGATGAGACCTGGGAGCCAGGAGCCATCTTCACGTCCAGACCATAGAACTTGATAAAGGTGTTCGGAGAGGACCATCCTGCCGTAACACAGATATCCTCTGAGGAAGAGCCTCTAAAAAGAGCTTGGGAAGAAGCCATTCCCCTGGTGGAATAAGCACGTACACCCAGAGGCGAAGTCAAACCACTTTGAAGTCAAAGTCCATACAAGAAGGGATGATAAAAAGAGCCTGCAGATCACCTATTCTCTTGAGAGAGGATAGAGCCACTAAAAGGACCATCTTAAGAGTTAAGAACTTTTTTGACACAGACTCCAATGGCTCGAAAGGATGATTCGCCAGCCCTTCCAGAATGATAGCTAAATCCCAAGAGGGGATTCGTGCAGGGAGGAAAGACCTAAGCCAGAATAAGCAAGTCCCTTGCAGAAAACGATAAACCAGGGGATGACGTTCTACAGAAACACCTCTCAAGGGCACATGCTCTGCTGATATAGCTGCCACAAAACCTTAAGCAAAACCTGCTGAAAAATGACTCTGTAGGAAATCCAGTATTAAACTCACAGGGCAATGAACTGGGTCCAGGTTGTGTTGGCCGCACCAAGAGGCGAACAGCCTCAATTTAAAAGCATACAGGTGCCTCATAGAAGGGGCACTAGAACTACGAATAGTATTGGTAATTGGAGTACATTAGTGTGCCCCGCTCAGGGGCCACACCCACAGCTTCCATAAGTCCGGACGGGGATGTACCTTGGGCCTGAGTCAGCAGGTCCGGTCTGAGGGGAACCTCCCAAGGAGGGCCGACTAACAGACTGACCAGGTCTGAGAATAATATCTGAGTGGGCCAAAACGGGGCCACAAGCAACAGATGTCTCACCTCGGGTGTTCTGAACTGCCGAGAACTGCAGAGAGTAGCCGAATCGGTGGGAAGGCATAAAGCCTGGCTCTGGGCCACTCCTGGGCCAGAGCATCTAACCCCAGTGGCGACAGAGGAGACAGGGAGAACAAAAACGGGCAATGCGTAGTCATGTTCAACGCAAACAGATCTACCTATGCTGGGCCAAATTTCTGCCATATTCACTACTTGAGGGTGCCGCCTCCATTCTCCGGATTCCAAGCCCCGCCTTGAAAGCAGGTCCGCTCCCAGGTTCAGATGGCCTGGAATGTGAACAGCTCTGATTGACAGAAACTCGGTCTGCTCCCAAAGGAGGACACGTTTCGCCAGCCTGTACAGGGGATGAGAACGTAGTCCCCCTTGACGATTCAGGTACGAGACCACAGTCATGTTGTCTGTCCTAATCAATATGTGAAAGCCCTTCAAACAGGGTAAGAAACGTTTGAGTACTAGAAACACCGCTAACAACTTCAAATGATTTATGTGCCAACCGCGATGCACCTCTTTCCAGACTCCAAATGTCGGGCGTCCCTAATAGACTGCCCCCAAGCCCGTGAGGGATGCGTCAGTGTTGATAGTTTTGCGACGACAACATGCCCCCAGCTGGACTCCTTTGGAGAGGAGTGGGAGTCTCGTCCACGGACGCAGAGCATGAAAACTTCTGCGTGTGATCAACACTCTGCGGAGAGGGTGGCAATCAGGCGAAATCCCTTGGCTTTTGAGCCACCTTTGAAACGGTCTCATGTGGAGCAGGCCCCAACTGAACCACAGGGGACGATGCTGCCATAAGACCCATCAGTCTGTGGCATAAACCCCCCTGAACTAGACATCCTGTCCTGAATTGACTCAGACAGCATTGCAATGACTGAACACGTGCGGGAGACAGCCGTGCCCACATCGAGTGAGAGTCTAGTTCCACGCCCAGAAAAGTCGTCTGTTGGTGTGTTAGCAACATGCTCTTCTCACGGTTTATGAGTAAACCCAAGCTCCTCAAATGGCTGAGTACCAAATCCTGATGTACTATTGTCAGTTCCTGAGATTGAGCTAATACCAGCCAATTGTCCAGGTAGGTCAGTATTTTGACGTCCTGGAGCCACAGTGGTCCATACACTTTGTGAACGTTCAAGGAGCCAGAGCCAGTCCGAACGGAAGAACACGGTATTGGTAAGCTTTGCCCTCAAAAGCGAACCTGAGGAACTTCCTGTGTCTCTTGACGACATGGATGTGGAAGTACGCATCCTTTAGGTCGATAGTCACAAACCAATCTCTGATCTGGATATGAGACAAAATGGACTTTAATGTCAGCATTTTGAATTTGTTGACTCTGAGCACAAGGTTTAAGCGCCATAAGTTGAATATCGGACTTTTTGGGCACGACAAAATAATGGCTGTAGAAAGGTCCAAGAGGGGGGTATTTCTTCTATAGCCCCTTTCTCCAGGAGTGACAAAATCTCCTGACTCAAAGTCGAGAATTCCCAAGGAAATACCGTCGTGAGAAGGATGCCGCCGAAAGGAGGTGGGGCTTTCCTGAACTGGATGGTGTAACCGTGTCGAATGGTGCGTAACACCCATTGTGAGATTTCGGGCAGGCGCTGCTACGCGGCCCAGTGCTCCACTAGAGGTGTTAGCCGTTCTACTTCCGGACCCTGCCATGCTGCAGGTGCCAGTACATTTACTGAATGCAGAGCGTCTCTGGCGTCTGGCCTCTGCGTTTTTCGTTATAGACTGGTCCCCCTGAATAGGGCTCCGAAGCACATAAGTGGCGGAAACCTCTGAAACAGGGAGCTGTCTCATCGCCGGATCGGGCTGACCCGCCACATTGAACGTGGGGGATTTGAACGCTGTCATAAACGGGCCTAACGCACATGGCCCTAGGGCTTTTTCTTGAACTCCGAAGGCTGGAACTCGCGGAGTGTCTGAGGTGTTGCTCGTCGAGAGAGCTCCGATGAAAACCGCCCGAGATGCAATCTGCGGCTGGCAAGTTAAGGTCGGAGCTGGGAGTCCACAATGAGAGAGACGAATATCCTTGCGCGGTTCGTCTAAACTCTCTGATGGAGGCCCTGGCCTCCGAGGACGAGCGAAGGTATCAGGAGCTACTTCTGTGGACCTGAGGTTGAGAGGCCTTGGCCGTCAAACCCAGGTCTATCCGTCTAAGTTGCAAGCGAAACGGTGGACGAGTCCTAGGACCCCATTCTCTGCCAGGGGGCTCCATAGGCGATGGCTCACTTCTTTGTGACTCACGGGGGCGCTGTGGGGAAGATGAGTGCGACCGGACTGGAGATTGCTGTTTCGCTGCCCGAAATTTTTCCATCACAGCGGTCACAGACTCCCAAATAGGCCGTCTTTAGATATGGGGGCATCCAGCATGAAGGTCTTGTCTATTTCTTTGATGTCCTTCAAAGTCTTTTTAGTCTTTTAACATAATATTATATTTTACCAACTAGTGTGCAATTTATGTAACTTATTTTCATTCATAAAGCTGAAAGAAAACGTATAATTCCGTTCTTTTGGCAGCATGGTTGAAGGAGGAAATGAAACCCCGCAGAGGAAGGTACAGCGACTACAGACTGCGCATGCACGATACCGGGTAGTTAGACATTCGTACGACGAAATAAAAAAATTAAGTTTTCCCAACTTAATTGTTTGTATTTATTGGACAAAATAGTAGTAAACATGTAGTTAAATAGTTTTTAGGTAAACTCAACGTTGTGTTTAAAAATCGTCCACTCGACGAAACATTTTAAACTTAACAATTTGCAATTGGATTTTTTGCAGTGTGGTGGCTTGATACACATTCAAGTTTTGTACTGGTTAAATCTGATCAAACATGATGCAATTGATATTGCAAGAGAATGTTATGTCAAAAGTGCAAATGAGCAAAGTGTCAAGTGTAAATTGCTAACAATAACATGTTTTTCAACTCTTTCACTTATTATAGAGGTTTAGGACGGACAAATTCTAAAAGATTCCCTGAAAAAGAGGATTTGGCCAAGAAGGATCCCAGTTGTGTCCTCCTGAAAGAGTCTGCCTGAGACGATCACTTCACTGCAGTATATGACATTAATTGAGATGATCGATGCCATACCGAAGAGAACTCAAGTGTTAATATGATGGAAACAACCAACGGCTGTAAATGGGGGTTTCTTTGAATTTGAATTTGAACTTGTTTTTCTGACTGCAATTAATGTAAGTTAAAAGTATTATTTACTTGGGCGAAGTGAGAAATAGAGCTTCATATGGAGCTTTGTGCTCTTTAGAAATCTTTTACATTTATATGTGTGTGTGTGTGTGTGTGTGTGTGTGTGTGTGTGTGTGTGTGTGTGTGTGTGTGTGTGTGTGTGTGTGTGTGTGTGTGTGTGTGTGTGTGTGTGTGTGTGTGTGTGTGTGAGTTGGTTTATGTGATTTATGAGGACACAAATTTGTATAATGACATGTGTATTACACTGGTATTACAACTTATGGGTGGTTTATGAGGACATTTCAAAAGTCCTCATAAATCAAATGGCTTAAAAAACATAAAAAACAATGTTTTATTAAAAAATTAAAAATGCTGCATGTCTCCTGTGATGGGTTTAGGGATAGGGGCAGTGTAGGGGGATAGAATATATAGTTTTTACGGTATAAAAACCATTACGCCTATGGAGAGTCCTCATAATGCTGTTGCACCAACATGTGTGTGTGTGTGTGTGTGTGTGTGTGAGTGTGTGTGTGTGTGTGTGTGAAATTTTTGTTTTATTACATGAATGATGCAAAGAAATAAAGAACACAAATTGTTGATGAATGGGGTTTGTGTTTGTTTTGTTGTTATTAAAGCTTTCATAAGTAGTTTTCTGTAAAATGCATCCAAAATAATAAATATAAATAATTAATTATTTAATTTCATTTCATGTCATACTGTTATTTAGCCTGCTGGCTCTTGGTAGAGTGGCTTATTACATCATCTCTCAGATTAAATTAAGTTATTTTGTATTGAATTAAATTATTTTGTATTTGAGTAAATAAATGAGTGACAATTTTGTACGGCTGAGTGAATATGGGTAGAACTCTACTGCCCTAGTACTTCAGAAACCCCTTTTATGTGAATTAAATGTGGCACAATGGCCTTTATCATCACAGCAATGCCTATCTAGTGCAAGGGATTGTTGGGCGTGAGACATTCAGGACAGTTCTCTCTGGAGAGACAGAGTCGTTTACACCTCAATGACACATATGTATATTTGCTTCACAGGACATATGCTGTCCACTTCATAGTATTTATCAACTAGTGAGTTCTAACTATGTCATTTTTGGTCTTATCTGACAGCTTATAAACTGAACTGAATGGTGGTGAACTTAATAGAGATATTAAAGTATCCTAATTTACAATCTACTGCAGGTACTGTTGCTTAAAAATGCATTAAGAAGAATATGTTAATGTTCATCTCTCCCTCTTAATCACCACATTTGCCTCATCTTTTGGTTTCCTGTCGGTCGGTTTTGGTGTTGGTATTCCACTCATCAGGGTATAAGAAGGAAAGGTAACTGTTGATCTGAGAAAGGCTTTAACCCTGCTACTCCCGCACACCGGTGCTTAACCTCACTATAAAAAGGCTTTTACGGCCTCTTCTGCACAGCAGTGCATTATTTGTTACAACTACGTTTTATATACAGTATGTTGTTCCATTCTACTGTCTGTATATTTAAACATGTAACTTAATAAATAAATTTGCCTGCTTTAAAGGCTTTGAGAATCTTTCCTTTTATCACTGATGATATTGGAAGCTTATAGTTTTCATTATCTAAACGTTCAGGTTAAATCCTGTATGTTTTCCTATCAGTTCTCACCTTTACCTTTAAAGAATAAGAGGTTAAAGAAACAACTTTAATAGAGTCAGATTAATTATATTGGAGTCAGATAAATAACTGAATTATGTAAATTTATAACACTATACATTGTGTTATATTACCTTGGCATTAACTTACAAAAAACGTAACACTGCTGCAAGGGTTTTTCTAATGGCTGGGGGAGTAACGATAAATCTCTCTTCTGACTGGAGGTCAATGTCTTCTGAAAAGTCGTTGAAACACTATTGTATTTTTTTTCTTTTGCTATTGGACTGTACAGTAACTGTATTTTCTGTAGTCCCATTCACTACTTATAGACGTTTACGCAATGACTTCTGCTTGTACTTTTGTTTTTTTATTAAAAGCTGTTGTCTTGGGTAAAAAAGGGAACACAATAACAGAATATTGGGATACAAGTATCAACCTGTCAGGTTTTGAGGTGAAGGGATGAGGCGAGGACTCAGGTGAAGATCAATTGGCTTTTTATTTAAATATCAAATTAAACAAAAACTACCTAAAGTACCTGAGGACGGCATTTCATAAGGCCGTTATCAGTTGGTGTCTCGATAAGCTGCCTAGGTCGTGAATCAGCTGATACTATTATTTTGTGTACTCAAATTCGTGCACTGGTAAGTGATTTATATTAGTGATCACATAATCTTGGATTAGAGTTCTTAAATTTTTGAAACGCTTTATATTGTATAGCCAAAGTATATTTTAATTATAAATTTAACATTTAGCTTTTGAAAATTTGTTGAAAATTAAGTTTAAGCAGTTTTGATGAACAGTTGTTTTTATTATCTCTTAACAATTTATCTTTTTCCCTCCCATTTATTCATCTATCCTATGTGGTTCAAACCAGAGAGGCGATGATGTGGAGAGGCAGACCAGAGGGATGCAATTTGGTCTCCTTGAGACAGTCATTGATGCTGGAGGCCTGGATTCAGTGGTGGAGGAACAAGTTCTACTAAACGTCTCAACAGTGAGAAGTGTTCCGCTCAAATACAGTCTTGTTTAGAGGTCAGAGGTGGTGCAGGGATGACATCAAAACCCAAAAGACTAATTTGCCACTGGTTCCCTCAAAATATTCCTATGCTTTTAAAAAATAAAAAGATTTTTTCAATTTGTTAGTGAAATAAGGTTTGTGGTAAACTAGTTGATGATACTTAGATATTTCATTCTACAATGATAAGACAATGATAAAAACGTTTGGGGTGTATGTGTGTGTAGTTTACATTGTAGAAAAGAAAATCCATTCAAGTATTGTCAAATTGTGTTTACCACAGAGCCTATTTCACCAATAAACGAGGAACCAGTGTCGAATTAGTCTTTCGGGTTTTGACATCATCCCTGCACCACTCTGAATGTTATGATGCCAAATATTCGGTTGTTGATTTTCAATACTTTTTATACTTATGAAATATCTCGGACACCATTTTGTTACCAGTCAGTTTTTTAATACTTTTTATACTCATGAAATATCTCGGACACCATTTTGTTACCAGTCAGTTTTTTAAAACTTTTTATACTCATGAAATATCTCGGACACCATTTTGTTACCAGTTGTTGTTGTTGTATTCTTTTTAGTGGTCAAATCACTTAATCACGATTAATCCCATCTAACATAAAAGTTTGTGTATAATGTGTGTATGTGTGTGTATATATACATATATATATATATATATATATATATATATATATATATATATATATATATATTATCTTTTTATATATGATATATACATGTATATGTGTGTCTGTGTGTGTGTGTGTGTGTGTGTGTATATATACACACACTATATTGCCAAAAGTTTTGGGACGTCTGCCTTTACAAGCACATGAACTTTAATGACCCCATTATTAATCCGTAGGGTTTCATATGGAGTTGACCACCCTTTGCCACTATAACAGCTTCAACTTTTCTGGGAAGGCTTTCCACAAGGTGTAGGAGTGTGTTTATAGGAATTTTTACCATTCTTTTAGAAGCGCATTTGTGAGTTCAGGCACTGATGTTAGACCTGGATAACAGTTTCTTATTCATCCCAAAGGTGTTCTATCGGGTTGAGGTCAGGACTCTGTGCAGGCCAGTCAAGTTCCTCCACACCAAACTCTTCATCCATGCCTTTATGGACCTGCTTTGTGCACTGGTGCACAGTCATGTTGGAACAGGAAGAGGCCATCCCCAAACTGTTGAGTGTAAAGTTTGGTGGAGGGGGGATTATGGTGTGGGGTTGTTTTTCAGGGGTTGGGCTCGCCCCCTTAAGTTCCAGTGAAAGGAACTCTTAAAGCTTCAGCATACCAAGACATTTTGGAAAATTTCAACTTTGTGGTAACACTTTGGGGATGGCCTCTTCCATTTCCAACAAGACTGCACACCAGTGCACAAAGCAGGTCCATAAAGACATGGATGAAGAGTTTGGTGTGGAGGAACTTGACTGGCCTGCACAGAGTCCTGACCTCAACCCGATAGAACACCTTTGGGATGAATTAGAGCAGAAACTGTTATCCAGATCTAACATCAGTTCCTGACCTCACAAATGCGCTTCTAAAAGAATGGCCAAAATTCCTATAAACACACTCCTACACCTTGTGGAAAGCCTTCCCAGAAGAGTTGAAGCTGTTATAGTGGCAAAGGGTGGTCAACTCCATGTTAAACCCTACAGATTAATAATGGGATGTCATTAAAGTTCATGTGCTTGTAAAGGCAGACGTCCTTGCATATTACCCACATGTGCACACATATAATATATATCAAAATATAATATATATATATAAACACAAACTTTTATGTTAGATGTGATTAATCAACTTGACAGCACTAATTATTTTATGTATTAATTACTTGTAGAGTTTGTAGGTTTTACTACAATTTAAAATGTGCTTTATTGTTCTCAGTTTAGGGAAAGATTAGTAAATGTTTTTTAGTTCCATAAATGTTTGAAATGGAATTGGCAGTATTGAATTTAATGTTTGTCAACTGAGCACTTTTGCCTGTATGTTGAGTCTGTGCAGATTGTTGTGAAATAAAGGCTAATATGTGTTTTCATTTGTGTTTTTATGTGATTAATACACACCACGATTTTGTTAACCTCAGTATAAAATTTAGTACAGCAATTTTTAGTTAAGCCCAAATAATAAATCCTGATTAAAACATTTTAGTTGAATGAACTATAAAACTAGTTGAGCAAACATATTTTTTTAAGTTGGAGTCAAGTTTGGACCAACTAAAACATTTTAGTTGAATGAACTATAAAACTAGTTGAGCAAACATACTTTTTTAATTTGGAGTCAAGTTTAGGCCAACTAAAAAATAATAATTGAAGCAACACTTTGAAGAGAGAAATTGAGTGAACGTAAAAATTCTGTGGAACTAGTTACTAAATAATAATTAGTTGAGACAACCTTAAATTTGAACAAACAAAAGTGTTAAAAAAAAGTTCAGAAATATACATTTAAATTGAAGGGCAGAGGTATGCAATAGGCCTATATCAAACAATACAAAAAGAAAATGTTGAATTATATTTTCCATAAAAAATGCCTACCAAAGTTATGTCCTCACTTTGACTCAACTAAGATTCTGAATAAATCAGGCAATGCCATGGGCAGCTTTAACTCTGAGGACCCCATTCGTATTTCATGCTCATTGTGGATGACACAGTAGAATGCTCCTGAAAGTTTTATATATATGTTATATATTTATATATTTTAAACAGACAATGTTGAAGTCTCTGTGGTCACAGCTTTAACATGTCAACTCTCTTCCCAGTGTGATAATTTCTGTCAATAGCTGTGGGATAAATCTTGGCACTTTTCTTGTTTCCTAAGGCAGCCACAACTGAGGGAAAAAAACAAGCAGACATGTTACTAAAATGTCTAGCAGTGCAGATCTATTCCGCCTAGACCAAACATATTAACACTGTCATACCCATTACCAAACACTCCAAGAGTTGTCATGACAGAACAGCCTGAACTTAATAGGATATTTATTTACAGGCTCCCATTGTACAACAAACAGTGACAACTATGGCTATATAAGACCATGTGGTCACAAAGACTTTATGGTGGTAATAAAAACAACTTTTTTTAGGCAAGACTCAAGGTATATTCATATAGAAATCGGTCCCAAAAATAAACCTACTTGAAACATTCATGTAAAAAGGATGAAACATGTAATATTAAGTGGTTTTCATTTTTTGTTGTTGGTTTTTTTGGCCACATTAAACTTTAAGGAAAAAAAGAAAAAATATATAAATGAAATGAAAAAATATAATGTGGTCCACCGTGAAAGTCTACCATGGGCACACCCAAAAATGTGTCCCAGGCCCTTTGCATTTTGGTGACACTGCATTAGTTCATAAGAGGTCAACTTCTTATAGTATGCAGACAAGGATCTGATTACTTGCTCTTTTGTGTCAACTGGCACATGTTCTGCTGGGCTCATGATGAGGCATGCAGGCGGTTGTGTAAAAAGTAAAAGAAGATTGTTTAGTGACCATTTAACTGTCACCACGAAGAAGCAGTGTCACTGTTACATAACTACACAAATGTAATGAATAATCTTAATAATGTATAACTAGTCTAGTGACTGTGCAGGACTGTTTATTTTTAACAGTCTAACAAACTAAAAATGGGTTATGCACTTATGCACAAAAAAAAACTACAACTCCCACACACACGCATACGAATGTTTCCCATGAGCGCAGATTCCGGTGTCATTTTCCTCTTCCTGTTCATTACATACTCGATATATCAGAGCAGCAAGATGTCTGGATTTCTGCGGGGAATCGCTCGGATCCGCACCTCTCCGGTTCTGCGGGGATCAACCATCACCCAGCGAGCCAACATCGCCTCGCGTCCTGCCAAGGATGCACTGGGGGCCGCTGTGAGTATCTGTAGAGAGCTGGATGATTCCTCTGAAGCTCGCGAAGGGAAGGCCATGATATCCTTGGCATTCACCTTTAGACCCAATGTGGTCATCGGAAACAAATTCAGTTTAGTTTGAGCTCTGAATCACACGCACTTTCGCATTAATCTCGGACTAATGTGGTTTGTGGTTGAAACGGCACCCAAAACTTCATCGGCCCGTAGCGGTTATTCGGAAGGTCGTGGAGCTGCTGGATCGATGGCGAACTGAATCTCAACATTTTTAGTTGTATTGCTTTTAGTTAACTTACTCTTTAAAGAAAAAATAATTCGCGTTTAAGGGCCATTGTGTATATTTCGAGCGATATATATAATGATACACTAGTTAACGTTAGCTATAGGCTAATACTTTAGCTACAGTGTTAGACCATGCTTCCTCTACTTTAAATGATCTCTCATCCATTTATGTATGTTTCTTACGGTTCCTTGTTTCTCCAAAGGATGTTTTCTTGCTTTAATTAGAGAGATTCTGGCCACATAGGTATGTGTGTATGTTTTTATATATATATATATATATATATATATATATATATATATATATATATATATATATATGGCCAGAATCTCTTTAATTATAGCAACAAACAAATAAACAACGAAAACAGTATGTTGCACGAAGTGCTGTCAATCGATTAAAAACGAAATGCAAATTTTCCTGTAATTAAAAGCACCTAACATAAAAAAAAGATTTTTCACTGATATCAATAGGCTACTGCTACTGATGTAATGGATCTTTCTCAATTTCTGGAGATTTGGTTCTCTTTTGCATTTGAATGGTTTAAAAAGAATTTTAATGAATGATAGCCAAAAAAAGCCAGGACAAAAACGGATGCTGCGTTAATTGTTAAATAACTCGTTCATATAGAAAAATTAACGCTTTAATTTTGACAGCCCTAATAGTACATATATGGTGATACCTTAGATTTCCAAGGCATTTTTTTTATTCCGTTTGAAGTTGAATCTCAAGATGGCAATGATGAGCTTGCATTGGAATGAAAGTACAAAGTCTGTGCAGTAGGGGTGGGAATCTCTAGGCACCTCACGATTCGATTCGATTACGATTCAGAGGGCTGCGATTCGATGCTAAATCGATTATCAGAATCTTTTTTTTGTGTGTGTGTGACTATAAATACTTTGCTTTAAAAGTAGAAAGTAATGACCCATAAAGAATTAACGTACAATATATTTTATTAACATTGCTAAGAACCAACAGGAAAATACATGTGTGTCTGAACTAGCAGCAGCATATTTGTAGTAAATTAATAATATAACAACGACCGGTAACGTTACAGCCGAGTGTTTTTCCTCCTCTGGCTGGAAACGTGTCATATGGCTTCTCATATGTGTCTTGTTTCCGAAATATTTTAGTTTTACTCTACAAAGCTTACAACTAGTGTGGCTCTTGTCCAGCTCCTTTCCCCCTTCAACTTCAGAAGCCAAAATATTTCCACACGTCAGCTTTTAACGAGGAGGGTGTTTGGATTTGGCGCTCAGCATAGACAGTAAAAGAAAGGCGCTCAGCCATCGCGTCCGCGTCTGTTATGTGCACGCCACAGACGGTCCGGCCACTGCACTTCCGCGCTTCAGAGTTCCGTCTTTCGCGTTCCGTCAATATTACGTTATTATAAATATATATCTAATTTTTTTTTTTTTTTGTTGAAAATCGATTTTTGACAATTGTGAATCGATTCAGAATCGTCCACGTCCGCATCGCGATGCATCTAAGAATCGATTTTTTCCCCCACCCCTACTGTGCAGTGCTATAAGTGTCATCAGTATGTTGCTACAGTTCTATTAAAGTCAGCATGAAACAGAAGTTGCGATTTTTTTTCTTTCCTATTGTGACATATATCTGAGTGAAACTGCTTCTCGAACAAGAAAAATGGAGGGCAGGACTTGATTTTGTCCATTGGATTTGATTACATTGTTGTGGTTTGCTATTGCTGTCACTTGAGTGCAGGTTGTCACGCCATCATCAGAGAAGATATGTTGTTGAAAGGAGGGGAAGATACGTTGATTAACAATAACGAGGGCACCTAAAAAAATAATGGGCACGAATAAATCATTTATAATAAATACTGCAATTTTTCTTAAAAATATACCATGATTTCATGGTGACTTTAAGTGGTTATAATGTTGCGTTCACGCTGAGTCCTAATTACAAGATATAATATGGTTACCTAACAGTTGTTTGGGTCTTGTGTCTGTTTTTACAGGAGACAACAGTTGGTCTGGCCTTCTTTACTCTTGCCATCCTGGGACCAGCTGGGTGGGTTCTGGCTAACCTGGAAAACTATAAAAAGAGGGACTCCGCTGCATCTGAGTGATCAATCTGTCATTGACTGAAAGCATATGTCTGGTTTTATTGCTTTTAACACATTGGGACCACCATCACACAGACCTCCGATTTACCTGAACAGCAGAACAAATTCTCTCCTTGAGCCACCCAACTACCTCTCCATGCGACTGGTTACTTTCCTCCAAACACTCCGGTCTTCATTACACCGAGCGTCTGCTCCGTTACCATCTGTGTAATAACATTTAATGATGGGTGTTTCTTATTACCTGGAGCTGTTACATCTGAAATAAATCATTATTTAAATCTTAAATTCTGTCTTTTTTTATTTATTTTATTTTTATGCTACCAATATACCAATTTATAGACAATATGCTACTGGAATAAAGCATGATATATAATGCATTTCAATAACCTGTTGCATGACGGGTTTGTATTTTAATGTCTTTTTAAATATTTCATAATAGCTAGCTAAGTCAATGACTGCAAGGCTTGTACAACTTGTATAAGATAAGTTAATGTTGGAGTCCTGCAACAAATTTACTGAATCATTTATTGGGTCTGATCAAATGTAGATATCAAAATAACAAACATCTAATTTCTGACACAAATGTGTGTAAACCCATTTAGAAAAAAATAATGAAATAATTGGATTTATTTTAGTTCTATACATTATTTTTTCCTTTTAAGATAACACTTAAACGCACCTTGTTTGTGAAAATATTAAAGCAAACATGTTTTCAATTAGTAATAATGTCAAGATGTATACTTACCACCAGCTTTTATGGGAGAAACTCGGTTCAAAATATCTAAAAAATCAACCGTTTTTACACGTGTAAAACAATTGTAGTGCATTCAGGTACAAAGTGGGGAAGAATCTCATCCGGAAGTCGATTCATCTCCAGCAGTTCCAATCAATCAGGTGACCGGAAATGACTGTTCTGCAGGAACATGGCGGAGGAGCAACAACAGGAGATCCCTCAAAAAGAGGCTGATGGTGAGAAGTACTTTACCGCTATTAGCCAGAACCAAATTCTGTCTACATCGTTTTACTCATGTCGCTGGTATTTTGAGCTGTATGGAGCTAAGGGATGAGCAGCTAGCGCTCTGCTTACCTGCTAATAACAATAGCTGAGAGTTCATTGTTTATGTTTGAAAGCACTTGTTTCAGTGTCCAAATAATTGTATCATTCTGTATACGATTACTAACAGTTAGCTAGTACATCCTAAAATAAACGTTTAACGAAAATGCTCCCCCGTGTGTTACACACGCCTTTATAAATGCACTGCACTGTGGAAACAAATGTAGGAATACCTTTACACTCGTCTCGCAGTAACAGTCAATATTAACGTTTGTTCCTGACCATGTAACGTTAGGGGAAACGAGCATTATTCACTTAAGCCACTCAAGTAATTGGCAGATTTGTCAATATTTTGCACTTAAATGTGTTTGTTTTTTGACAGGGCTGAATTGTCTTGCATATGACGAAGCCATTATTGCACAGCAAGATAAGATTCAGCAAGAGGTAATTGTTGAGCGATCTACTCATTAATTTGTATTGGAATGTCATGTGATGCTTTATACATGCTCCTCTAGAGTTAAAGGTCTTTCTGCAAACAAAGCACTCTCAACAGGTCATGATTGAGCTGATTCTGCTTTAGTACAGTTTAAATAAATGTATTAATATTAGGTTCATTGTCATTAAGTAATTAATGGAAACATGATGTATAAAAAACGTAAACTATTTTTATTTCAACTAGTTGCCAAGGAAGCATTTTTTCATTTTAATTTAGTTTCACTTTGCTGTACTAAAATAATTCAAACAAAAAAAAGACTACAAAGACATAATAAGAAAAACGAATAAATTGGCAAAAACACAACAGAAATGCTAAAGTTTTAACTAAAATTTAAATGAAAATTGAAAAATAAAAACTCATTTAAAATCTTCCTGAAAAAATATAGTATTTCAATTATACTAAAGTAACGTCGCTGATTAAAATCGAGCAAAATGTGTGACGTACTTGAGAAAGTGTTTAATGAGGATCCAGGTTTCCTCCTATTATGGAAATCTGGAAAATATTAGGGTTCCGGGCATTGCACTAAATTAAATGTCCACAAGTTGTTCTAGTTGTTATTATTATTATTACTTATTTGTTTATTTGAAGAAAAATAATTATCCAGTAATCATGAATGACAGGAAGACTCATGGAAATTCATTGGTCAAAAGGTGTGGGAACTATTTTAGCCCCTATACATGTATTAATGAATACCCATGATGGTCATTAGGAAAAAATGCAAGATTCAATCTTTAACCCATCTTGAATGTCATTGTAGATAGCAACCAGTATTTCTCTGGTGTCAGAAAGACAGGAACTGTCTGTCCTTAAGCGAGAGTATTCAGATGATGACACCATTTACCAGCAGAAGATAAGAGTAAGTGAACCTTTTCAATAGAGAATGAATGTTTATGGAATACTATGCATACATTATTTTTTTATAATGCAGTTATCTTTGTCTTTTATCTCGGTTATCCAGCCACATACTAGCCTGGCTAACGTCAGACCCAATTCTCATGGGTCTGGGAACCACATGTTCATTTTCTCGTATTTGAGGCGTGGTTTACGAATGCCCAGAGCCGTTTATTGGGTGCTAAGAATGTCTATCAAATGCGCCTGTACGAAGCTCATAGCCAATCATTTCAATTATACCAGATGACGTATGTAGAGCGACAGAAATTAGACGAGGAAGACGACGATGGGTCCGAGATTTATGTGTACACGATGGCGTGTATCTAACGGCCGTTTCACACCGCATGCGTGAGCGGCGCGTATTTTTTTCGGCGTGCATGTTAATCAATGAGTGCATTCACACCGGGAGCAGGAGCAGCGCGTGAGCGTCGAGCAGGAGCGGCGCGTGAGCAGCAGTGAAGCGGGGGTTTCGGCGTCGAATCTGTTTTTGCTGCACTGCTCACGCTAAATTAAAGTGAAAGCACACTTTTGATGGACAAAAATAAATATGATTTCACACAAAAAGTGCCCAAAATGCACAGAATAAGCATGTCTAGTGAGTTTTAACAAGAACTTGAGTATAGGCAAATAAAAGAAAATCAAGACTCAAAAATATTTATAGAAGATTTAGGCTACCCAGTAAAAACTTGTTTTTAATTATTCAGTTTGGGTGAAAGTTGTGTATTATATAAAAAAAAACTAAAGTAAACTAGCCAGAAAATATTATATATAAACGTTCTTTTAGTTTATGTAACACACAGACAGCTACATAGGCTAGCACAACCCAAATCAAACCCAAGTGTGTGGTTTATTTGTGTGTTTGGTTTTTTATCCGCGGAGTTTGCAGTCTTGTAAACATATCGAAATTATGACTGAAACTAATAGATTGGAGCCATTTTCTGGGTTGTTTTGTTGTTTAACATTTATATGCGAATGCTGTACACCTCCCCATTACAAACTTTCAAGACTATCAATGTTATAAATGACCAACTTCTAAAAACAAATGTATAGTTGTCTTTGTAAAGAATTGCTCGCTTATATATGTAGCTTTGGAGCCGCTGCCGTGACACTGTACAAACGCTTCCAGTGTGAATCCTCTCGCGCGTCTGCAGTGACGATGTAAGTTAGTTACGCTGACGCGCTGCTCAAGTGCCGCTCACGCTCGCGGTGTGAAACGGCCGTAAGGCTGCATCGAAAGGTAACTTCGCGTCTGCTGCCATGTTGGATCCATAGTATAAACAAACTGCTTCGGTGTGTCGCATAGACGTTGTCATCGTCTTGCTGCTCCCTCCCCGTTCTGTGATTGGTTCCCTAGATGAGGTGAAAATTTGGTCCATGGTATCCAGACTACCTAGCAGCGTGAATAAAATCACGCTGCGCAAAGGCAGTATGGGGAAACCCAGGCTAGCCACATACACAAATATTTCCAAGCATCCCCATCTCTGACTTTTATTTTCAAAACTGTTTCATCAATAGGACTTACAGGAGAAGTACTCATCTATACGCAAAACACGGCCAGATGGGAACTGTTTCTACAGAGCCTTTGGTTTCTCACATCTTGAGTCTTTACTTGAAGACAGCAAAGAATTACATAGGTAACTACCTGCCAGCCTACATTCAAGTGAACATCATTTATTCATTTAGCTGAATAAATGATTCCCTCTCCACAAAACTAGATATAAAAACATGAAATCTGTTCTAAATGGCAGTGATCGTCACATCATGCAGCTTTTTGACTTTCAATGTGGACTGACAAACTACTTGTTGTGTCAAGCCTGTTAAGATCATTTTCATTAAAGTATGAGAAGATAATGGTCTCAAGTAGCTCTTGTAACCTTTAGCACACTCTTCTAAGACTGTGTTTGGTTCCGTTCACTTGGCAGGTTTAAGGCTATTGCTGCCAAGAGTAAACTGGATCTGGTGAGCCAAGGTTTCACAGAATTCACCATTGAAGATTTTCACAACACAGTAAGTCTTTGGAAGAATGTCCAGATAATATATTTTTTATTGTATTATTTATTAATATTTTAAATTAGCTTTTATTTTTTACACTTTTTATATATCCGGTTTTATAAACATTTTAGTCATTTTGTAAAAAAAAAAGAATATTTCTATCTTTAATTCATTCTTGTCATTTTAGTACTTCAGCTTATTATATTTTAGTTAGTTGCCAGGGCTACATCTCTAAAGGGACGGTTACACTACACTTTTCATTCTATTGACTTCCATTCATATGCATGAGACCGGAAACACAAGAACATGTGAAGAAGTTCTTCGCATTTAGCTTTGTTCTAAAGTTCGGATTTGGTGAACTCTGACCTGCGGATTCATATCACGTGAAGAAATGTGACCAATAGAATCGATACTTCACGTCATGATCACTTATCTGAATTAAAAGATAATGAATGTTGCAGGAAAGTGTAGTAGATTGTAAAATTTGGAATCTGTTTTTTTTTTTTTTTTAAAGACACTGCAGAGTGTGACATCATATCGCGACCATCGCAGTGTCCAAAGAAATATCACAAGCTCAAAGTCTAGTGTGACCACAGCTTAATTTTTTTGGGTTATACTTTATTATGACGTTATTACATTGTACTTACTCAAATATGTATTGAGTAATATTAATTAACTACATGTTCTTACTATAGAGTTACAGTTAGGGTTTGGTTTAGGGTTAGTTACTTGTAATTATGCGTAATTTACTGTTATTACTATAGAATGTACATGTAGTAACATGTTACTACGTCACCTTAAAATAAAGTATTGCCTTTTTTTTGTTTTAAATTGGTTTTTCATCTAATATATTATTTCAGCTTTATTTTAATGAACTAAAATAATTTTTAATAGTTTAAGTTTACAATTACAGCACTGGAAACTTGAAATCAGTCCTGTTGACAGAACAATTATATATGGAAATGAGTACAACATTTGAGATCGCATATCTCCCGTTTGCCCTTTTCTTTCTCTGGGGTAATCTTAAATGAATTTCTTGCACAATTAATTTCCTCTTGTCTTGTTCACTTCAGTTCATGGACCTGATTGAGACATGCGATAAGCAACCGTCTGTAGGTGAGCTGCTCGGCTCCTTTAATGAGCAGAGCGTATCGGATTATCTGGTCGTCTATCTGCGGCTGGTGACCTCTGGGTACCTGCAAAGAGAGGAAGACTTCTTCCAGCACTTCATAGAGGGTGGTCGCACCGTTCGAGAGTTTTGCCAACAGGTAACACTGAAAAAGTCCTTCGTCACTTGAAGAAGTGATTTATTTTTAGATCAGGGGTGTTCAATCCTGCTCCTGGAGGGACACTGTCCTGCAGAGTTTTGCTCCAATCCTAATTAAGCGTGCCTGAACCAGCTAATCAAGGTCCTCAGGGTTACTAGAAACTTCCAGGCAAGTGTGTTGGGAAAGGTTTGAGCTAAACTCTGCAGGACATTGGCCCTCCAGGAGCAGGATTGGACACCCCTGATGTAGATTAACCTGCTCTTCAATGACTTTGCAACATTTTTAACCAGCGTGTCCTTCTGTTTTGGCCAGGAGGTGGAGCCCATGTCCAAAGAAAGTGATCACATTCACATTATAGCTCTGGCTCAGGCTTTAAACGTGTGCATCAAGGTGGAGTACATGGATCGAGGAGAGGGAGGAACAGTCAATCACCACATCTTCCCTGAAGGTGGAGAGCCCAAGATTTTCCTCCTCTACCGACCAGGCCACTACGACATCCTTTACAAATAGCAGATCTGCTGCTAAAGGCCTCGTCTATCTCTGTGCTGTGGGTTTGACTTGACTTTAAACCTGTGAAATGTGAACCCAGCACTTGACATTGCAATTTCCTGTCAAAACCCCCCTAAGACTCTTGGAGAATTTGGGAGAATCTGTTATACAAGGCACTGGACATTGTACAGTTTAACCTTCATCAGTTGTATATGGTTATTTCATTTAGTTGTTCTTTTTGTTTGTTTCTTGTGGTTGAAGACTGCCTGTCATTTATGATAGGAATGGAAATTGCTTTATCATGTTTGACTGTATTTGACTTTCATCAGAATAAAAAATAATTTGCAGTAGTCATAGTTTTCATAGTCACATTGTTTAATGTGCGTAGGTTTAAAATTGTGCATCCATGCTGCAATTTAAGCTAGACATGCACTGAAACACATACACATTGTTCCTCTTAGAGAAGACCGATGAAGGAGTTTGTCATGACACCTTCTTTGGCCGGCAGCACTTCCACAGAATCACAGAATGAAGGTGGGATGAAGACATTTGGGTCCTCTATTCCCTCCACTAGGTCAAAGAAGCTATGGAAAGAAGAAATCATGTTGCCCTCTGGATCCATTTGAGGTTGATGACTTTTTATTTGCTTAAAGATATTACTTTAGTGATCCCTAGGGGTGATTAAGGTGTTAAATGTAAAATACTTAGAAACAAATGGGTGATGGTATAAAAGAATTGGTAACAATCCAAAATTGTGAGAAAATGTATGTTTAACTGTCAGAAAATGTAATTATATAGTACCAGTTTTTAAAAAGAAGTCTCTTATGCTCACCAAGGCTATATTTATTTGATCAAAAATACAGAAAAAAAAACGTGATATTGTGAAATATTATTACAATTTAAAATAATGGTTTTCTATTTTAATATACTTAAAATATTATTTATTTCTGTGATGCAAAGCTTATTTTTCATCAGACATTACTCCAGTATTCAGTGTCACATGATCCTTCAGAAATCATTCTAATATGCTGATTTATTATCAAAATAATATTTTTTTATAACCTGTGATACTTTTATCAGGATTCTTTGATGAATAAAACATTTTTTTTAAATGAACAGCTTTTAACCAAGCATTAATCTTTGAACTGTAGTGTATATTGTTAGAAAAGATTTTATTTTGAATAAATGCCGTTCTTTTTAACTTTGTTACAAAAGAATATTAAGCAGCACAGCTGTTTGTTCCAACATTGATAATAACTCAGTATTAAATCAGCATATTAGAATGATTTTTGAAGGATCATGTTACACTGAAGACTGGAGTAATGATACTGAAAATTCACCTTTGCATAACAGAAATAAATTATATTTTAAAGTATATTAAAATAGAAAACCATTATTTTAAATTGTAATAATATTTCACAATATTACTGTATTTTTCCTGTACTTTTGATCAAATAAATGCAGGCTTGATGAGCTAAGATACTTCTTTAAAGCTATTTTTTAGGTATATTATATACTATTTTATATATATATATATATATATAAACCACATCTGAAATGTTCACTCAGAGTCTAAGGTTATGTCTACATCTGTGACCCATTCAGCATCCTCCTTTTCTTATTTTGATTAAACAGAATGAGTTGTTTTCATGAAGCACACTTTTTGTTTTATGTGCATGTTATTCGTTATGCTTGCATGAAGACAGCCTTGATCAGAGGAAGAGGAAAGGCAATGTAAACACATGTAATTGGTTAAGAGGGTCGCTTGCATAATCTGCTGTTGTTCTTCACCAGTGTACTACAAATGTGGTTAAGTAAGGAACAAGATTGCAGACTTGATTACATAAGTATTATCCATGGGTCTTTGGTCTTTAATGAAAAACATGTTAGACATGGTTATAGTTTCTGTATGGGAGATCAGCCTACTTTTGAACACTAACCTTGTCATGACAGACAATTCCCCTTTCTGTGTGAAATCAATGGTGTAGAGAGGCACGCAGCCAAACGCAGTGAAGGTCAGTAGGTAGTTTTCTGCAGAGAACAGTACAGAGAACATAAGCCAACTAGCAAGGGAACTAGAGCCAATTTTATATTGGTTCATTCAAGCCAAAACGACAATAAGTTATACTTAAAAGTAACTTTTTTTGTTGTTGTTCAAAACATCTATACACCAATACTTCTTCCAAAACGTGTTTTTGTCACTATGGCAAAGCCTATTACCGGTATACGTTTTTATATTTTAGACTGGTCGGTAATGTTGTGACCGTTTAGAAAAGTAAAAACGTGTGATGTTTTTTATACATTCGTGTTGTTTATCGCAGTCTGTGCGAATCATCAGGGAGCATAACGGCGCACATTACCTTTTGTTTCCTGCGCTGTTCCATTCCAGTTATTGACGAGCAATCCTTGTCCTAGAATAGAGCTGCTGCCCAAGACCATTTGAGTCAGGAAATGGGCATCATGGGGAATCCCAATATGTCTGAATGGTACCTTTAATGCAGTCTTAATACAAGTTTGGTTGCGGTAGTGGATCTCATAGCTGACCCCCTGTTGAGAGGAGTGCAAACTCTGGGTCATATTAGCAGTCAGCAACACAATCCCCAATGATGAATTTTGCTAAATTCATGTCTTGCTATTTCTCCTTAAACCGTGGTACTTTACCTCTCTAAAGAGCAGAAGCCTGTCTACAAAGAAGGTCTCGCTGCCATCTTTCCCAGATGCTAGAACTCGGACATTTTGTCCAAAGGCATCATAGGAGAATTTCTCAAAAACACGTAAGTGTTGCCCTGGGATAAACTGTGTTGGAGAAGAAGATAATTTTACTGAGAGCATTTGCACATAACTCACAGTTAGTATTTGCATAGTTTTTTGCAGATATAAGCCAACTAGAAGTTAGAGATCAAATTTATATGTCAAGACAGTCCACTTACTGCGGTCAGCGCCCCCTCTAGCAAGGGTGGAGACTCTGGAAGTCAAAGGAGAATAACAAGTTTCATTTAAACAGATTCGTTTAAAAGGATCCAAAACAAGCATGTATCTATTTTTAGTTCTTTCAACTGCACTATAAAGTTTACTAAAATGTTTAGGCAAAGGACAAAAGGTCAGGAGGTCTTACTGCAGGGTTCGGGCCTCTGTGCGCAGCTGCTGAGAATCAGGCTCAGGCAAACTGGGATCAGAAACAGGATCTTCATCATTACCGCGGAGTAAACTGGTAAACAGGAGCCAAAGCGACTAACAGCGGTGTTTCCAAGCCCACCTCTTCTTATAGAGTTGAATCCTGATCATCGCTCCATGTTTTTATACTCACCCACACTGGGCCTTTTGGGTACTGGGTCAGTGATCCAGTTCACTAAAGGTCTCAGAGGCGATACAAGCTACTTACTTTTATGTATTAGTTGGAATAATCATTTAGTAAGTGCTAAAACAGAAGGAAGATAGGATGTTTTTGAAGTTCCAGTAATAGGAAATACTGCCAGGTGTCCCTGTAGAATAGATAATGGGTGCGTGTGTAAAACCTGGGCTGGAGTAAAAAAAAAACAAAAAAATTCCCTTAGTCACATTATGAAAACTCAGCATATTATGACCTTAGATTTGCTTGCCACAGGTCAATGTGCAAGTGCAGGTGCTAGTCATATAACAATCTATGGAGAAAAACAAGGTGATTTGATGATATTAAAATAAGTTGTCGCACTTGGCAGAAAACTGTCAATCTGACAGAATCGGATGATTATAGCTTTCTAAAAAGTCATCTATGTTCTATATCTGCTGAAAAGCCATTTAAAAAAAAGCCTAAGCAGGTTTACGTGGCTTTCTGAAATAATTAAATCTGATTGGTCAGTTGCAGAATTCAGCAGTCTGATATTTCCTCACATACGCCTCTGTCAATGGCAGTGCTGTATCAGTTCAGTGGGGTGATTCCTTTAGGGTTTGTGATGCCTATTGAACGTATCAAAAAAAGCAACACTTTTTGCGTCCTAATGTAACTTAAACACCCATGCAATTCCCCTGCCAATGTAAATACTGTTCTGACTGTCCATCCATGGGTGAGTAAAGGAGAATCAAGCCTCTGCATGTTGAACACGTTTGTGACTGAACAAGGACACATCAAAGGAAACATTTATGGGTTAAGTGCTTCATTTAGAGAGTTCTCGTGTTCTCATGCACACACCTTTCCCTTTGACATAAAGATTTATACAGTCTGGATTATGTATTGATTACTTCTTTACTGCAGTCAAAGTACGACAAACATGGCTCATCTGTCAGGAGACCAATGCGACTCATATGACCCGCGATGTGGCTTCTTTGATTACAGAAGACAGTTACTTATTGTCTGGTTCAAGAATAAACATAGCCTATAGTAAGTTGAACATAATTCCTTCAATCTTTCGCATTAAATGGCCTGTAATTACAGTTGATCTGACTTCTTGGCAGGATCAAAGCATTATTTTCAGGGCTTTGAGGCTGGAACTCGTGATTATGTGTGAGATAAATCTCACACATATATATACCATTTTATTATCATGGACCTTTGATATTGCAATAAACACCACACTCTTTAAGCTGTTGACCTCTTAGTTCACTATTGTGCTCTCTTTGAGTGAGATCATTGGCAGAGCGTCCACTAAGGAGTCATAAGTTAAATCTGGACCTTTCATGGTTGTTATATCCCCTCAGTTACTCCAGTATCTTTATTAAAATCTGTGACAGTGATGGTTTAAAAAGCTGAAATGTGCAGTTTGTATTTATTAAAAACATTTTATTAAAGGAATAGTTCACCCAAAAATGAAAAAAAAAAATATATATATATTTTTAGGAACAACATGATGTAATCATTTTTTGGTGAACTATCTCTTTAAAGCACTTCTTTGATTAAAATAATACTTGAGTCGTAAAACTGTCTAAATTTTAATTATTTGTTTTTTTGACAGTGCCAAATGATTCATTTGCGATTATCTTGAGTATGATGTGAAAGCAGAAGACAGGGAGAAAATTCAATATTTATTTTTTCTACACTGTAAAAAGTGATCAGTTGACTTAACTTAAAAATGTGAGGAAACCTGTTGCCTTAAAATAATTAAGACGATTCCACATAATTGTTTTTTTAAATTATGCATGCAGTTTATTTACTTGATCATTTTAAGTCAACGTGCTTTTCCTCACTTTTTTTTAAGTTAAGTCAACTGATCACATGTAGAGCATATAAAAATACATCTACTGTATATAATGACATTTTTACTACTTCTGTGTTGAATAAACTATTTGATCAGAATACATGATTACTTTTACATGCCCTCAGTGGAGATTAATGCTTTTGCATGATAAAATGTATTAACGGCATCATCCAGCAGGGGCTAACAGGGCCATGCTCCTTAACAAAATGTGCTATGGATAGTTGTCTATCACTTTCTGTAATTCTCACTAGAAATTATACACATGGAGTGAGTTTTTGTAGAGGAACTGTCAGTTTTTCTCACCAATGGAGAAGGTTTTTATTTCTGCAGTTCCAGTTGCCCTAGTGGTGCACAAATCACACGCTTCACTTGGGATAACCCAGAATATTTAGTATGCAGGATGATCTAAGATGACAGTTTTGCTGCATTTGGCCGTGTTTTTTGCTCAAGTGTTGAAATAGCCTGTTCATTGAGTGATTGATGTGTGCATTGCTTCATCATATGTGAACATGCTGCACATCACTTTTTCATAAGCACCCTCTGCCACACTCTATCACTGTATTCATCATGTGCTGCCATGAATCAATGGAAAACGATGCGAGAAATGTTGACTTGTTGAAGCAGATCGTGTGAAGCGTCTTAAGATTTTGAGGATCAGTAGCAGAGATCACGCTTCACAACTTGTACTATACACAGACGAATTTTACTTTCATATGCAGCATCTGTGTTCTGTTTGGAGTGCAGACACAGGCAATTTAACATGTAGAGATAGTAAACCTTCACTCACGTCGTCATTCACTAATGGCCATTAGGGTTTTTGCGAGGAAACATGCATCATCCTGTCATGTTTTCTTTGCCTAGCAATCAGAGAGCGTGATTATGACAGTTCATGTGTGGGAAAGTGTACGGTGTGTAATTAACAAGCACTTCTTGAACTTGGTGGGAAAGTAGTGTTTTTTAAAAAGTCTAGAAGATTCCAGCTGTCTCAGCAGAAGATTGATCTCAGAGACACACCTGCTTCTCAGGATCTGATGGTCTTAGAAGATGAGTCAATGACTAATAATAGTGCCCATGATAAAGAAAGGGAAACACTTTTGGAAATCTAGTTTAAACATATTTAAAAGTCCTTAGAAATGTACTCTTTGTATTCATGTTGTTTTAATAGGTTTTATTTTTGGGTTGGGGGACGATATACTGTACCATTTTCAATAAAAGTTAAAAGTATAAAGTTAAATATTTCACATGTACAATATTTTCAAAAAGAATATTGTGAATATCACGAATGATTAATATTTCAATATCATTGCATTTTTGGGGAGTCGCATTACATGACATTTTACAACCTATTGTCATATAAAGTCAATTTAGCTGATTATGTTGTATTGGTAACACTTAACAATAAGGTTCATTAGTTAACTACCTTAGTTAACATGAACTAAAAATGAACAAATCTTTTATTAATCTTAGTTAATATTAATTTCAACATTTACTAATACGCTATTAAAATCAAAGGTTGTATTTGCTAACATTAGTTAATGCATTGTGAACTAACATGAACTAACAATGAAGAGTTGTATTTTTATTTACTAACATTAACAAAGATTTATACATACTGTAACAAATGTATTGCACATTGTTAGTTCATGTTAGTTAATACATTAACTAATGTTAACTAATGAACCTTATTGTAAAGTGTTACCGTTGTATTTAATATTTTTCCCCTTAAGAAATAATAATAAAACATGATGCCAAACTATTTAATAAAGTTTTCTTTTCAAGAGTTTAATACCAGCCAACCCCCTAGAAATTATAGCATGCTTATCAAATAACAGGTTTTTGCAATAGATTATTTTTTATGCAATATATTTTTTAATAAATAGATCCAGTCAAAAACATGTCATGTGATTGACCCAGATAGATTGAGCCAATAGGAGTGGACAGGAGGAAAGGATGTGTGTGGTCTTTGCGAGATAAGCCTGACTCTTCACATGCACTGAGCTGTGTCTTGTTATTCTGAGCTCAGGTTAGAAAGAAGTTGGCAGGTACGGTTCACAGGTTTTGTTGACCTCAGTCTGTTTTGGAAGCATCATGCCTGTGCCTGTTGCAACATTAACATGCTTTCAGTTTAGAGTATTTATTTTCTTGTGGACTATTTCCTTATTTGATGTAATTGGATGTGTTCTTCATTTCTTTTCCCATGTCAAGTCTAGTCACGTTAACTTCGCATTTCCAGTTGTGGATCGATAGTATCAAGTTTTCAGGTTTTGAAAGCCATGTCTAGCTCATGGAAATATTTACACATCCACAGTGGTGCAGATTGCATGCAAATATGGTAGGATCTTGTATTCATAGAGAAAAAGTTCAAACCAGCCTAAGCAGGTTTGGTGGGCTTAGCTGGCCTGGTTATGGTCTATTTTATGGTTGTAAAGGGCTTCTGGACACCAGGCTGGGAGACCACCCCTGTGAAAAGAAGTACACTTTTAAGTACTATTTACTTACTATATAAGTTAACACATTAAAATAAGTGTACTTCTTAAAAGCATGGCAGAAACTTAAAACAAGTATTCAAAATGCACTTTAACCAAAAACTTTTAATTTGATATTAAAAAGTGAAATCTTTAAGTGTGTTAAGAAACAGTAATGAAAGCGTACTCAACTTAAACTTAAGTGGCCTTTTATATTATTATATAACTATTTGCAAGTACAGGTTTTTATTTATTTATTAACTTTTAAGATTTTAGGTATACATTAGAAACGCACATTCAATACAATTAAGTGCACTTCTTTTTCATAATGGTATTTATAAACCTGGTAAGACCTGAAAACCAACTTAAGCTGGATTAAGCTGTTTATTCTTTGAGCTGTGACACATTTGCTTTACTAGCAGATTGATCATGAATGTTTGTATATGCTAATTTTACAAAACATTGTAATGTAATGATGGAAAAGTTTGATTGTTTTGATTACATTGTTTCATTTAATTTCACAGCCTCTTGCAACCGGATAAATATTCCGCTAAACTACAATGACATTGCAGCGTAGATTCAGTTTGTTCTCATTATGAAGT